AACAAAAGTTCGGAGGAAGAAGAAGCAGGCACAAAAAAATACCAAAGCTGCAAGCGCATATTTCCTTTTCACCCCACGCTCAATACTGACTTTGATTTGCACCTCTGCAAACTAAACTTAAAAACCCAACCCCTTATTCAATGAGGACTGAAAAACGGGTTGTCTGGCTATCATTGAATTGATTTTGACATCCTTCGACTTCCACTCGCAATCATGTTCCCACTTCAGTCCTGCTTTCCAGGTCTCTCGTGATGCCCCTGGCTCCGATGAAGATGATGCCTCACGGGGCGATACAGCAAAGGCCAGGATCGCAAGTTTGCTTGGATCCATGTGTCCAGTATCAGTTCACTCATTACATTTCACTGAGCGATAAAACCAAGCGGTTGTTTGAAACAAGACATGACAACAACATGTGTCAGGGGACCACCGTCCGTCGTGGAGTGAAAGGCCGGGTTGGCCTGAGGGATGACTACCACAATCACATCCAGGAGGCTTGTGAGAGATTGAGACAGGAGAACCCAGGCTTGACCCGACAAGCTGCTCTCGTTGAAGCCCGCAAGGAGCGCATGCCCCAGTGTGATCAAACATTGTACAAGCCAGTCCTCATGTTTTGGTTGGATTCCTCATGTTTTGTACCAGCCAAACTCAAGACTCTTTGACTGCCCTCGGAAAAATCTGAGGTGGCGCGTGCACCCAAAGAGAGTGGCATCGATCAAATCCATGTCGGCATCGGAGTTGAGCCGCCGGCGTTTGAAGGTGCATGTGTCAAACGAGGTGGCACCTGAGGAGGAGGTTCCAGCGAAGGAGTTGAGCGAGACAGAACAGGACATGCCCGACCCTGACCAGGGGAATGGTGAACCAACCCGTGAGGGAGATGACGTTGACCCCGAGCCAGCCGCCGACGAGTCCGATTCCAATGCCTCTACACTTGTTCTTGGGGGGCGTCGGGATGAAGATAGCGACGGTGACAACTGAGTAGCTGTAGCGAAGTATTTTGAAGCAGTGTGTCCTCTAGTAGTCCAGGTGCCATCAGCGGTCCCATGATCTCTCTGGGCAGGCCTACTAAAAGAATATAATAATATTATATATAATATATATACACCAGCGATAGGAGGTTGTTGTTTGGCATCTAGATTGAACTGCTAGAACACCAGGGGTTGCAATAGAATTGCACCTCACAATGACCATCTCATTGTGAAACTCATTTAGCTACTAGGGTGTGAGCTTCTTAGAACTGGGGTGTCTCTTGAAAAGAGAAGGGCGCTCTAGCTTGAAGCGTTGCGCGTAGGGTGACTATTGGCTTTGGACCAAAAGGCAAAATTGACAGTTTCTCAAGACTTCTGGATCAAACAATGTCAGGTTGTTACTGTCTTTTGAATGATGCTACAATCAATTGATCGCAAGAAGGTCTTGCGCACCAAGTCATGACGCGGGCCCTTTGTCTCCCTGCTTCCGCCAGATGAGCTGAACCGCATGGCTGAGTGCAAGTGGCATGACGATACCGTGCCGGTCATCTTTGAAGTCCAAGAGGCTGATAAGAAAGGCTGCGTTGACTCAGAACAGTGTAGTCTGAGGAAGCTCCTTCAAGAAATGGAAGACGAAGGGTGGACAGACGTGACCGTGAACTCTCATGATCTGACACGTCCATCAGCTGAGGGTTACTCGTCTTTTATGTTGAAAATTATTGCTCTCTGTTGAAAAACAAACTGGAGCGAAACAAGGTTGTGAAACTGATGGTGTCCATGCATTGCCAACCAAACACTCAAGGTCCTGATGTGTACCGCATCAAACCTAAGCCTCTCCAGATGCATTACTTTTGGTCCCAGCCATCTGCCACGTTCGGCCTGAAGTACACGTCCATTGCCTCCATATTCCAGGAAAATGCCCCTTGGCAGCACGCAACCACCCACTTTCACGAGCCAATGAGTTTTTTTCATATTTTATGCCCAGTGATGCCTTTCTGAGGCTCTCAATGCAGCGAGACCTTTGTCCCGCATTTGGCGTGTAGGATTCTTGAAGGAAGCCAAGGCCAGTTGTTTGTCCATGTTTGTCCAGTACAACATGTTGCAAAACTCTTTGGGCAACATGCTTTGATACGTTCGATGTCGATGTTACAAACCCAATACAATTTGTATGTCTCCAGGAGATTACCCCTCGACCTTTGGCTGCATCTTCACCCAGCTCACCAGTCCCAGTCATGAATCTGGCTGCAAGGTTCTTTTGCGTTTTAAGTCTGACTGTGAACTTTCAGGAAAGCCTTTGTACTTTTTCAAAGAAAGTGTGAGCCTTCTCGAGAACGAGGTCATCCGTCTGGTTTGAAGCTGTAGGATTGGACACTGGTCCGGCAATCACACCCATACGATTGGAAACCAATATATATTAAGAGTTCAATTTTTTGGGACTGGTTCAATCTGTTCAGAGCAATCGAAACAAATGAACTTCTTACTGTTACTGAATCCGAAGCCCGTTGATGCTCATCCTTTTCAGAACCATTGCTCATTGGGTGTCGTTGCTTCAAATCGAGCCTGACTCTGAGAGCCCCGACAGCCGGAGCGTTTTGCCAGGGCCAGGCCTGATCAGTAGGTTGAGCGGAACGCCCTTGTTGCACAAGCACAAAGATCGCTGAACATGTTGCTTTGCACTGGAATAATGGCTTTACGCTTTAAGCTTTGAGCACAATGTCGATCTCATGGATTTTGTTTGATTTCACTGCTCACGTTCAGCTGTGCCAAAAAGGCCGCCCAGTAATCAACATGGTTCATGAGAGGCGTCAACAGCCAAACAAATTGAAACCTACAAGTCCTCGAACAAAGTGCGACAACCAAAAAAGACTTAGATTGCGCTACTTCGGTGCATATGTTCCCCGGGCCGCGTGGAGCGGCGATCATGAATGATGGAAGGACCGTGGTCAGTTTGCGAAGAGCATGACAACCTTGGGGTGAGCCCACACGAAACTGCCACAAAACCTGGCTTTCAGGATTGGCCCGAAGAACATGGAGACCCCTCGTGGACCTCACCGCACGGCAGGCCTATGGGTTCTCTTATTGCTTCAATTTGAACAGGCAGAGTTTTTCTCAGCGATACCCAACCAACTGTTATTCTTCCGAAGTTCAATGTACAATTTCCTGATACACGCATGTGCGGATGGCTGTGCCATGTTGCTTTTTCACCACCTTGCCAGCACATCTCAGCCCAAGTTTGCCTCTAGGTGGACTCTATGCTGCTTCGTGGGGATGAACAGCGGAGGCTCGTGCCTGCAAACACGGAGGGCAGAAGGGTGGGTTCTGAGGATGCCCCATAGTGTCCCAACAGTCAACTGTGTCCAGTACTAAGAGCCTTTGGTTTGCATGCAGGGGTGGTAACTGGACAGATCTGCTCAGCAATCATTTCGACTGGCGTATCCCTTTACTTCATCACCTGTTGCAACTCCAGACACCATACCTCCACCCTCTATATACCAATCAGCCCAACTTTATCGACTTGGCCCATGGAATCCAATGTCAGTCAACACGAGCCAAACTGAATGTAAGGCATTGCAACATTCCAAAACCTCTCGACGTGATGAACAACAAACCCAGCCAATCAGCGTCACAAACCCAGGCTGCTTTGTAGTGACTTGGGGTCAATGTCGATGGCCCCTTTTTTTAACACTGCCCGGATACCTCAAAATCCCTCACGCCATCCCCCGCCATACCAGTTCAAAAAACCTCTTGGCGGTATTGACATTTTGCTATTCTCTGGGGCGTCATATTTTCCAAGACCTGACCATTTGCTTGGCAAACACCAGACAGCCAGACAGCCTACTCCAAAGGTTTGGTGTTATTCATCAACCCTTTTCGCCTCTCTGGCAGACAGCCTCATGGGCCATGTGCTTGAACACGGGTGAGTCTGAATGATCATTGTCGGTCTTATCTCCTGATTAGTTCTGATTCGTCCTCAGTGCAGTCAAAGGACTGTAGAAGGCGTGGCCCTTGAAAAAATGTCCGGGAAAGACTCGTGCTTGCTTCTCGTGTTTGGCAGTCTGTTGCTTCTAGCTTTGCATTGTATGCTGCGATGAAACATTGTTTAAGTTTCTTAAAGGTGTTCAACGCTTTAAGAAACTTTGGCAATCTGTTGCTTGAGACTAATTTCATGATTTGCTGAGGTCGGATGCTTGTCACTGGGTATTCAACAAAGGCCGGCCGGGCAAAGTGTCTTCTCCGTCCGAAGATCAACAGTCGCTTCGAAACAAAATCTCGAACTTTGAGTGGTCAAGACCCTTTCCAAAGTCAGAACACTCATCACTGCGGTCAATGCGCATGCTGTGGAGAAATGTCAGGCAACTACGCATAGGTATACGCATACATGCGGGGCAATGCGGGGTATCGTTTTGAGAGGATACGCGGATAAGCGCGCAAACGCATGTATGCGGACAGCTCATACGGGGATGTTAGAATCGATATTCCAGGATGCCGGGGCGGGATGCCGGGACGCCGGGACGCCGGGACGCCGGGATGCCGGGACG